ATCGAAGTGTTAAGATGAATTTCAAAAAAATTCAAAAGAATTTAAAAAGAATTGCAAAATTTTAGAATTTTACGGGGGATAGAAAACAGAAGGAACATCGGCATTAGAAAAATTGAATTTACTATCTAGCAAGGTCACCAGCCCGTACGTACGGAGGTCCCCGGGCAGACCTCCGTACGTACGGGCGTTCGGGGTCCCGTACAGGGTCCGAACCCGACGGCGTTCGGCCCCCGCCAAAGATTATTTCGGGGCCTAAAAAATAATTATTTTTTTCTAAATTGTTTTTAGTGAGTTCTCTATGAAGTGCGGTACATGCCTGTAAAGTTTGAAGACATTTGGCTAAGCCAAATAAGAATTAAAAATCTCCAAAGATGGCGGTGTCAAAACGTGCTCGCCCACGTATTTTTTCACTTTTTACTTTTTGTTTTCACTTTAGTTCGGGGTCTAAACAATTTTATTATTTTTTGAAACTTTTTTAGTGGGTTTTGTATTATGTGAAGTACACATCTATAAATTTTCAGTGCATTTAGCTATGCCCAAAAAAATGAAAAATCGCCGAAGATGGCGGTGTCGAAAACATGCTCGCACACTCACTAAATTTAATTCTCTTTTTATTTTTATTTATTTTTATTATTAGTATTTTTGTTCTGTATTTTATTTTTATTTCAAATTTGGTAAGGAATTAGGATGTAATGCTCAGGCAAATCCTGTTTAACTTGTTTTTCTCCATAACATATTTTTTCAGATTTTTTTGATTTTTTTTTTTTTTTTTTTTTTTTTTTTNCCCAAGGGGTCCCATACGTTCGGGTGTTCGGGTTCGGGCGTTCGGCCCGTCCCAAACGCCGGTTACCCTGCTATCTAGTAAATTTCAAATTGTATTTCATGAATTTTTTGAAATAAAGTCAAAATTTTAATTGAATTAAGAAAAAGATTTGATATGAAAAAGAATTTTACGTAACTTCTGAACAAAAACGCCAGAATTAATTCCGATCACGGCAATAGGAGAAAAGGAAATGAAGATTAATCCTATCGAATTAGATGAAAATTCCAAACGACAGAATGAACGACAATTGTTAGACGAACCCTAAAAGAAAAAATATGCATCATGCGTGTTGGGAATTTTAGATGATGCGACCGATTTGGCGGGGGGTTAGAGGAGAGAAGGGGAGATGGAGAGGAGACAAAAGAAGAGGAAAGGGTCTTCTCGATCGTTCTCCCGGTGGAACGATGAGGTTGCCGGAGTATTCGCACGGAATGATGATGACGATGGGCACAACATACACATGATGAATTCCACTGTGCAATGATGGGGAGAGTCGTCGTCGACATATCAAAAAGCAACGTCGCGGTGAACGCTTGGCGGCCGCAATCCAGTTATCCCTGTGGTAACCTTTCGGACACCTCTAGCTTGAAGTCTGAAAATGCTAAGGATTGATAGGCCACACTCTCACGGTTTGTATTCGTAGTAAAAATCAAAATCAAATGAGTTTTTGTCCTTTTGCTCCTCACGAGATCTTTGTTCTTGTTAAGCTCAGCGTATGACACCGACGTTATTTTCAAACAGATGTGCCACTCCAACCAATGCTCCGGCGTGCACGTGCACGCGGGGGGAGTACAGGCCGAAGGAGCATAGGAGGAGGGGAACGGGGGAAAGTCGTGCGTGCACGGGGGGGGTATGGTCGGGCGCAGAGAGGATACGAGTCAGGGTAGAATTCGAGGGGGGAATTGGGAAGAGTCGGGGCGGAAAGAAGATCGGTGCGAAGAAAATCAAGGGGAATCAAAGCGGGGGAAGGCGGCATTAGGATCCAGGGGAAAGGAAGGTGGGGAGAAGGTGGTCAATCGGGAACGGGGCGGGGGGTGGGAAAATCCAATCGGGATCTGAGTGTAGTTGGAGAGGGAACGGTCGGGGGACATCACGTGGGGGGAAGAAGTGGGTGGAAATCGCGCGGGGACGAGCATCATCGGTGGGGTGAATCGCACGAGG